CACAACACAGTAACTCTCATTCTCTCTTTATCTATACCATATCTTTACCTCTATTTTTTCATCTAGACTGTGACCACATTAAATCTCGCCGGCAATCAAATTAGAAATGTTGGAGCAGCATATTTGGCTGAAGAATTACAACACAACACAGTAATTCTCATTGTCTCTTTATTTATATTATGTCTTTACCTCTACTACTTCTGATAGACACTCATCACACTAGATCTCTCGAGTAATGGAATCGGAGATGTTGGAGCACAGTTTTTAGGTGACGCATTACAACACAATACAGTAACTCTGATTATCTCTTTGTCTATACTATGTCTTTACCTCTACTGTGTTCTCTAGACACTCACCATACTAAATCTCAGAAATAATCACATCAAAAATGTTGGAGCACGATCTCTAGCTGGTACATTACAACACAACACGGTCAGTCTCATTCTCTTTATATCTGTGGCACATCTTTACCTCTATATTGATCTAGACACTCACCAAACTAGCCGTCTGGAATTTTTGGATCGAGTCTGATGCGATAAGTGCGATCGATGAATTACTTCGACGAAACGTAGCACGAAGGAAACCGTAAATCGTAATGTTAAATTTATTTCGATGAAGAATAAATCGGTGGTAATGATTCATGGAAGTACTTTTTTTCTGTTATAATTTTGACAGAACTAGAAAATAAAATTGGTTGCTTTTAAACGTAATCTTGTATTGTGATGAAAATATTTTGTTAAGCACTTTTGATTTTTGGCGAGGTGGATGATGGAATTCTTAAAAAATAGAACTTTTACGGAATAACTGGATGAGTGTATAGCGCATGTAAAACTAAGCGGATGCTTTGTATAACAATATTATAACTCTCAACGATTCGTTTCAGGAGGGCTAAGTCTGAAAAAGTTTTGTATGATAATAGCAGAACTCTAAAAGATTGTTTGGGAATTATAACGAACGATGGTAGGTTCTATGTGATAATAGTAAATGTTTGAAATGTTCTTTTTAGTACCGAAAAACAAAGGGTCATGCCTCATGATATTGAATCAGAAATATTTTCTTCGTTAACGCTGAATCGTAAATTGTACGATATGGATTAATGCTGAACTCAGATTGATTTTATGTTCAATACTGCTGAATCAAGTATGATTGTTTTGGTTTTGCGGAATCTCTGAAGGCATTGTAGTTGAATAGCTGAATCATCAGGAATTTATTCAAAGATAAGAAAGTTCGGTAAGAAACTACCTTGTAACTAGAAAAATTCTGTTATCAAAGTAGTTTTGTATCCGTTCAATAGTACTGTTGCACTTAGTCATGTTATTTTTTTGAAATTACTAAATGAAATCGTATGATACTGTGGAAGTAGCTTTGTAGCATACTGATGAACAGATTGCCGTTGTAGATCATGAAGGCTACTAAGTATTTTTATCTCTTGTACTTTATTTATAGAAGACCATCTAAATTAATTGAATTAATACATAGTATGTATTTTAATTTTAAACTATTATAATTCATTCATTTGATGAACATTTGTAATATTTTATTTTGAAAAGCAAATGTGTTAATAAAAAGTGAAGGGAAAGACAAAAAACAATAAAAGTAATCATGTTTATATTATATCTACAAGAGAAAAGTTAGCATCATGTTCGAGTACGTTTTATCTGGACTCGCCTAGGAACTTGTGTTGGCTCGAGAAACGGTTGAGTTTGATGCAACAGTTAATTCTCTATCGAATGGTGTAGGTAAAGAAAAGACGAATTCCCATTCACACCGACACCCACCCTTCAAATCTGACATAACACAAAAATTTCATTTTCTAACGTTTTTAATCACTCGTATACATAGTGTTTTGTATTTTGTGTTAATATTGAAAGAAAAATCTATGCGTATTAGTAATGTAATTATCTAGAATACTTTATGTGTGAGAGTCTTTTTTTATTGGTACTCCTTTTAACTTATGCACATGTCATAGTGCGTGCTGTTTTTTTTTCTCTGACCTATATGTGTATGCAGAAAGGAGAGATTCAAACAAGAATATTTTCTCTCTTTTGTGAAAATATAACACATGTTTTCCTTTTCTTTCTTCTTTCAATTCAGTTATTCTTATGTCGTATAGGCTCCGTATACTTATCATTTTACACTTGAAAAAGTTAAAATCAAAGGGATAAACTTTTGAGCTGCTGTTTCATTCGTCACATCGTACTCGCTTATAAGAATTCTAATAAAAACAATGCAAAGTAGTACGATTAACACAATACACAACTCGCTTTCAGTTTAGGATGAAATGAAAAAATTTATTGACTGAGTGTCCATTTTTTCTATTCACATGTTGATATGGATATACCGTAGAATGGTAACCTCCATAATAGTATGAATTTCTTCTGAAATTCTAGATCTATATAAACAACGGAAAACTTTATACAGACTACTATTCTTTCTTTTTTTTTGGCAGATTTTAAAATAATGGAACAAACTGAACAAGACTCATCATCATCAACAATAATATCAGCACAAAAAAGGCGACAATATTATCTTCGACCAATGAAGTTATTTATTGGATCATCTATCGGCGCTGAATTAATATTTTTATTCATTAGTATTTGTTTTTTTTCTGGATTTAAAGATATTTTTTACAAAATACTTTGGACATTATTTTTTTGTGGTATTGGAATGGGTTCAACAATGGGAACATTAATAAATATATTTATTACTGATCGATATTTTAATTCTAAAGCAATATTTGGTACATTGATTTTAGGTCTTATTGTTTTTGGTACATGTAATGTATTATGTTTTCGATTAGATCATCATTTTGATTATTATGGTGCAATAAAATATCCTGTATTTTTTCTTTCAAAAGGTTTTGTTGCTGGACTATTAGGAAGTTTAATAAATGGTTATTTATTATTCAATGCTAATGGGCAAAAACTTTTAATTAAAATCGGATTATAAATCAATTAGTTGTTGTTTGAATTAATTCTTATGTATCTTGTTTTAATGTTTCATCTTTGAAGTATTCCTTTGATGTATTTTCTCGAGTTTGAATAACTATTTGTTGAACTTCTTTATCTTTATTCATATTAAATATATGTTTAATATCATCTTGAAGATCGTCTGAAATTTGATGAGCCATACCGATTCCAATAACTTGTAAAACATTATCAAATCAAAAAGAAAAATGCTATCGAAGGATGTGACAATATAGCACATTGTGAAATTCATTCAAGAACAAACTGCTGATTAGGATGAAGATTGTTTAATAAAGATGGAAAGGATGTTTTTTGTTTTTAATGACCAGATAAATGACTGATCTAGTAGTGTACCAATAACGATATCAATATCATTTGATGATAAACGAACAATTGAACCCAAAGCAATATAAATGACTGAAGCAATAGGTTCTTTATTAAGTCAATCGGCGATATCTTTCGCCTAAAATATAAATACTCATATGTGTATGAAAATTTTTAATCTAATTTTATACTTTATTTTCTATCGATTATTGACTATTGAAAATCAAAGGACCATCTCGAGGGTGTGGGTGTGGGTGTGGGTATGTAGCTATGAATATACAGTTCATCTTTTATCCACACTCATACCTACCTACACTACCAAACTCACTCACACCCACACCCTCAAAGGATGATATCGACTTAGTAAACTGATGATAAAACTAAGTCATTTTAATAAAGCTCAACAGTTATATAACGTACTGCTTGAACAGATAACTGATGAAAATGAAGAAGCACATTTATATCATATGCTTGGCTTAATTAATGATGAACAAGGACTATATTCTGAAGCTATTGACTTTTATAAACAATCAATTGAAATCAAGCAGAAAATTCTCTCTCCAACCGACTCAAATTTATTTGTTTCTTACAACAATATAGGTTTGGTGTACGATAAAATAGGGGAGTACGCAAAAGCACTTTCATTTCTTGAAAAAGTTCTTGAAATCGAAAGAGAAAATGGTTCTTCAGATCATTCAAACGTCGATGTTACTTACAATAACATCGCTTTAGTCTATAATAAAATGCGAGAATACGCGAAAGCTCTTTACTTTTTTGGACGCGCTCTTGAAATTGATAGAGAAATTCTTCCACCAAATCATCCAACTTTGGGTATTTTTTACAACAACATCGCTTCAGTATATTTTCGAATGGGAGAGTATTCGAAAGCAGTTTCATTTCATGGAAAATCAATTAAAATCTGACAAAAAATACTTTCAAAAAATCACCCTGATCTAATTTCGTCTTACAATACTATTGGTGAAGTGTAGTAAGAAATGGGAGAATATACCAAAGCACTTTCGTCTTTCAAACAAGCGCTTGAAATCTCCAAAAAATGTTTTTCGCGAAATCATCCTAATTTGGCTGCTTCTTACAACAATATGGCTTCCGTATAGACGACAATAAGTTAGCACTCAAAAGCACTTTTGTTGTCGAAAATGGCACTTGAAATTTATCAGAAGATTTTTTCTCCAAATCATCTAAATTTAGCTGCTTCTTACGACAACATCGGTTTAGTATATGACAACATGGGCGAGTACTCGAAGGCACTTTCGTTTCATAAAGAAGCACTTAGAATTCGTAGAAAAACTCTATCTTCAACTCATTCTTTATTAGTTACTCTTTATAACAACATCGGTTTGGTGTAATAAAATATGGGCAAATACTCGAAAACCCTGTCGTTTTACGAGCGAGTATTGAAAACCTCTGAAAAAACATTGTCTTCGAACTATTTTGAGGTGGTCGCTTCGTACATCATTATTGCTAATGTGCTTAACACAGTGGGTGAGCATGCGAAAGCACTTCTAGTTTTTGAAAAAGCACTTGAAATTCATCAAAACATATTGCCACCAAATCATTCTGGTTGGGATATACTTTACAAGATCAATAGAAACGTGTACTATAGTAGAGGTGAATACTCAGAAGCACTTTCGTTTTATGAAAAAGCATTTGAAATTAATAAGAAAATACTTCCTCCAAATCATCCTAGTTTGGCTGGTACTTACAGAAACATCGTTTCAGTGTATTCCCAAACGAGTGAATATTCGAAAGCTCTTTCATTATGTGAAACAGCACTTGGAATTTATCAAAAATCTCTTCCGTCACATCATCCAGAATTGACTACTTCTTATAACGACATCGGCTTGGTGTATACAAAGATGGCTCATCGCTCGAAAGCTCTTCCGTATTATAAAAAAGCACTTGAAATTCGTCTAAAAGCTTTTCCACCAGATCATCCTCATATCACTATTTCTTACAATAACATCAGGGGAGTTTACCATTATCAGGGCGAGTACTCCTAAGCACTCACCTATTATAAAAAAAGCACTTGTAATCCGACAAACCACAGTTCCTATAGACCATTCAAGTTTGGCTGTTTCTTACAATAATATTGGTAGAGTGTATTACAATCTGTGCGACTATTCAAAAGCACTTTCGTTTTACAAAAAAGCACTAGAAATCCAACAAAGACTCTTCCTTCGACTCACTTTGCTGTGGTTACTTCCTACAACAGTATCAATTTGGTATATGAAAATATGGGAAAGTACTCGGAAGCTCGTTCACATTATCAACGCGCTTTAGACATTGGAATACATACAATGTTACCTAACCATCATCACCTTGGAGATGTACGAGACAGCATCGAGATAGTAAAAAAGAAACTATAAAAGATGTTTTTATCAATATTCAAAGATTTCATTATAAATAAATCATTAATAATATCTTAACTATTCCGCACAAAACAATATTTGAATATCTATGTGCATGAAAAAAAGGCGTATAAGGATTACATCGAGTGAAGAAGAGAAGAGACACTCTTCATAAAACAGATGTGTTATGAGAACGCTAAAATATGACACTAAATAATAGTAAGCTTGAGACATATCATCGAGGAGAAACCTTTTCTAAGAAATTATGATGCATATGAGAACACGTAACACACTTTTTTTGAAATTTCGTGGGAACTGTGACTCCTGCAGTTAAAGCCTTTAAAAGGTCTGTTCTTTTCATTATACTTCTCTGATATGTTAAAATCATGTTGAAAATAATAATCTGTATTATAATCGCGTTTTCTTTGCCCTGGAGCTCTGTTGGTAAGCAAAAATATTTTGTTTAGCAATTGATACAGCAAATCTCATTTCTAATATAGGTAGAAATGGTATGACCTGGAAAAAGTATACACATTTAGAACCATTTGGTGTTGATTTGGTTGGTTGTTCTGGGGGAGGTGGAGGAGTACCAGAGCCACCTGGAATGATATGCAATGCATATTCAGGTGATACAAATTGTGATACGTCACTTCCAATTCTGTGTGTCAAATACGACGATAGTCCGCAGCCAACAATTCCTGTAACATGGAACTATTCTTTTGGTTGGAATCGAGGACATATTCGTTTGACAAGTTCAGTTCGAGGCTCAGTATTTCGAGATCTGTCAGAAGTAAACGAATTTTGTGGAGTTATATTTGGTAATGGATGGCGCACAGCTACATTTCATGATGGAGGAGGTGGGTGGAATTATTATTCATATGGAAATATATCTTCTGATAAACGATTTTGGGTACATGTTAATGATCAAGATGCAAACTGTTGGAATCGGTAAAAATAATACAAGAAAAGAACAGTTATTTCAAATTTTTGCGCTTTTTTCTTTAATGATGAAAGGTTTTTGAAAAATAAACAACAGTAGTGATCGGTGCGAATAACATTGATCCTCTATATAACTGCACTGTATTTAAAAGTATTGAGAGTTCAATAATAATTAAGAAGTCGACAAACCATTGCTGCAACCATTGCAAGAGCTTAACTGTCACACTAATTTCTTGAACATTCATATTTATTTCTGTCGCTTAGTAAATATTTTCTTTGTTGTCTACACCTATCTTTTCTTTTTATTTAATATTATTTGTCGTGAATAATTTTTCAATCATTAATTAAATAAACGTTCCTCAAAGTATGAATAGTTCTCTAAGAAAATAGTCACACAAAGACTCACATCACAATCTTTATACATGTAACGTGAATCGGTTCTCTTTTTAGAGTCTTTGTTAATATATATGCACACATGATACACATATTCTGGCGATTTCTCTTGTTGATCGTATTTTATTTTGTATTAATCTATGTTTTTACAACTATGATGAACGAAAAATAGGATCCATTTGAATAGTAATGTTATCTCTTCAAGGTATGGGTGTGAGTGAGAAATGGATAAAATACACACCCACACCCACCCATCCTAAACTAAATCTATTCATCAACTTCGATCATTGTATTGTTCTATACAGACTGCAGAAAATTATATGATTCAACCATTATAAACAATGATTTATTTCGTAAAACTAATATTGAATTATACAATTAAACTTAGAAAGGATAATATTTATATACAATATAAATGAACTTATCTCGGAAAACTAAATAAAACTTTTAAAATCACTGATGTGTACATAAAAAAAAGAAAATTTGATTTAGTTAACCGACTGTTAACAGAAAAAAGAACTTAGTCTTATTAGCGAACGCGTTGCCTTGCATTTATCTTCTCTGGTACATTCCAAATGTTGCTGTTGACCAAAAAGCTTCTTCTTGACCACTCAATCGATTTCCGTATCGACATCCAGTTGCAAAGTGCTCACAATTGCTAGTAAGAACATTATATCCTTTAATTCCGAGAGAATTTCGAGCACGTCTAAGAATTTCATCCGCTGGTAAAATCGGTCATTCATTATCTTTGAAATTGTCAATTCTTGCTCTACCATCACCCATAAACATCTCGCAAAAAGATTCTTCTGTTATTTTCGCATAATTGGTACATCCTGATCGAAAATCGAGATGAACGAAGACGATGAGGGGTAAATCACGAGCGTCGTTTTTTGTTTACAGGTATTATCTCTTTTCTTGTTCTTTCTTGTTCTTTGAACTAACTCATCACCAGATATAATCTCTGTCAGTACTTTTGAATTGATCTAAACAGATTATTGAAAAACATTAAAAAGCTGTAGATATTTATAACTGAAAAATTTTGAGTTAATATTGAACGAGATACATTCTGGTAACAAATTAAAAAATAGTTCACTAACAAACATCTTCTTTCTAATACCTCGAAAATTCTATTTCCTTTTGTGTAACTCATACGAAAAATGATAATATGTCATAGAGATATACATGTTATTTATCAAAAAATTTTCATATTTTCTAATAATTAGAAATTTATTTCTATAAAGTTCAAATAGAAATTGGATATTGACAAAAAATATAATGAATGCATCAAAACTTAATCATATTATTGTGAATAAGGTTATTATAAAATAAAATTATGTTTTGTAAATTATAAAATTTTATTTATTTTATCAAGAAAGAAATCACTAAAAATAATTTTCGTGTGTCATCATTGTATGAGAACAATAAGTTCTTAAACGTAAAAACTAACTAAATAAGTACGGATTAAAATGAGAAGGTTAGGATACAGTTTTGAACTGCATCCTATGCCGTTATTGTATAAGATTATTTGTTTATAAACCTTGTTGAACGAAACGAAGAAACTCAGCACGGTTAAGTTTTCCATCTTGATCTTGATCAGCATTTCGGAAAGCAGCATCGACAACATCGAATCCACTGCCTCCAGCACTAGCACCACCAAAGCTAGCACCAGCACCACAGAATCCGGCACCACCAACAGAGTTCGATTCAAATGATGAGGAAGATGATTGAAATCCACCACCTAAACCAGCACCAGCACCAAATCCAGCAGCAGCACCACCAAATCCGGCATCGGCACCGAATCCACCGTTGCTTGATGATTCATATGATGAAGATCGAGCACCAGTAGCATCAAAACCAGCATCAGCACCGCCAAAGCTAGCACCACCGAAACCGGCATCAGCACCAAAACTAGCACCAGCACCACTGAAACCAGCATCAGCACCAAAACTAGCATTAGCACCACCGAAGCTAGCACCAGCACCACCAAAGCTAGCACCAGCATTTGAGCCGAAGCTGTTGCTTTCAAAGCGTGATGATGATGCTTGGGCACTTTGGCTTTCTTGACCATATGATGCAGCACTGAAACCAACAGCAGCACCAGCAACAGCGGGAGGTGACTAAATAAATTTGAAATACGATCATAAATGTTTTTCAATAGCTTAAAAAAAATCAAAAAAACTTACGATGTCTTCAACGACACCAGCAGCACGAGCTTGTTGTAAAAGTACGGCTGAAGTAAGGAGTGAAGCACCATATTGTTGAACATAAGCTTGTGGGTTAGATTGGGTAACACCGAGTCGTTGGAATTGACGAACAACACGTACTTGTGAGGGTTCGTATTGAATGATAACATTACGTGGTTTAGCATATTGTTGAGCAGCTTGTGCACGTTGTACAATTGTACGACGTTTAGCTTGTGCTCCATATGGAACCCATCGTTCGATGATGACATCACCTGTAGATAGAATAAAAATATTAAATATAATTTATGAAGAATTTTTCTTTCAATTATAACGTACGTGGTTTAGGTGGGAGGGGTGGCATACGTTCAATGATGACTGATCGTGGTGGAACTGGTAAAGCAGCTAAACGACGAATGACAGTTTGTGAAGCAAGTGAAGCTGGTGGTTGTGGTGGTCTTTCACGAAGAACGAGTGGGGGTGGTTGAGGAAGAGATGGAGCTTGTTGACGAATGCGAAGAGGTGGTGGTGGAGGTGGTTGAGGTGCACGAACTTCTTTGATGATGAGTGGCTATATAATAGACAATTTTTAGGTAATGAAAGAATTCAAAATACTGAAAAGAAATAACTTACACCTGGTGGTGGGATTGGTGGTGGTTGAAGGAAGCGAACTTTGATGTTTTGTGTGTAGGTTTGAACACCACCTGGAGCTGGGCGACGGATGATTTGTGGGTTTGCATCTTGAAAGAGTCCTTGAGCATCAGTTGCATATCTTTGAACATTTGTTTGTGAACTGTATGTTTGACTCCCAAGTCCGTTACTTGATGATTGGTTTGATGATGATGATCCATAGTTTGATGCACCACCAAATCCAGCAGAAGCACCGAATCCAGCATTAGCACCGTATCCACTGTTGCCTGATGATTCATAGCTTGATGAACTACCATAGTTACCACCAGCTAAACCAGCACCTGCGCCAAATCCAGAGCTACCAAATGATGATGATCCATAGCCTGATGCACCATCAAAGCTAGCACCACCTCGGTTACTACTGATCCATTGTTGAAATTCATTTCTATCGATGGCACCATCACGGTTGGTATCAACTTGATTGAAGATTGTGCGAGCATAATCGGAGCTCATGATTGTAAATTATCACTGATAGATTAAATAAATGAGTATCTAATCGAATCGATAACGATGAATGTGATTACTATCGATTTTTCTCCGTATATATATAGTCAATCCAACATATCATAGGACCGGCAACTCCTTTAAATCATTCAAGCATATATTATGTAAACATTTTTTTTCTGTAAATTACCACCATAAAACTAATAAAAAATCCCTAGATCGGTTAATCACACCAATTTTTCTTGTAGTTAGTTCGTACCAGATAGACAACCCGCATGAAGAAAAAAACATCACCATTTCTCTCTCTTATTTCATATAATATAATAAACAAAAGACACATTGAGAGGCTGTACACAAACATACAAACAACATGTCAGTCTATACAACGAATGTAACGCATGTTTATTCGTTTTTGTCAATATTGATCAGACTTATTTTAATCGTTCTCGATGAAATAAAAGTACTCTGCTATTACCAATCATTTGTTTTTTTTGAAGGTCGCCATGTCCATACTTTGAATGATCGATGACGTACATCGTACGAGTAATAAAAATTATACAATACAACAACGATTATCGGAGGATGATTGTATGTGACCCCAGAAAATTTCGATTAACCGTAGGTTCATAGTCAACTCAAATAAAAATAAATTACAGTCATTTATCTAAGGAGTTATTCTGTGTTAAAAGACATTAATTATATATGAATATTATACAATAATATGTGTATTGAACTATTTATACAAGAAAAAACAGTTTATCTCTAATATGATATTTAATCAAAATTTTTTAAGTAATTCAACTGTTTGAAATAAACAAGATTAAATATTTTTTTTAAGAAATTCCTTATTAATGAATATCTATTTCATCGGTGAAATAATAAAATTAACCAAAAAGTATTTTGTTTACCATAGAAACAAAAACAAAAACAGAAAATTTCATACACTTTTTAATCTTTTAATATAAAGTGTATACTTCGTCTCCGCAACAGAAAAGAGATTATTTGCTATCAGTCTATTTTATACATATGAATAGGTACTATCATTTTATAGTTCTGTTGAAAATCAAAAATTAAGTAAAAATTTCCAAGCAATGTATTACCGTTTTCTCATTAGAATCTGTAATTATAATCGATGTCAAGATTAGATATATTTGAATATTTTTTAATTATTTCGAGTATGAAAGTGACTAGAAATCGTTGGTTTTGATTATTTGAAAGAGAAAAGACTTTTTCTATTGAAAATAAAATGTCAAATATTCTTCCTTACTTTCTACTAGCGTCCTCTATCAATTACTCATTAAATGGACAGAATAACTAGCAAATCCTTTTTAAAAATAAATCAGCTGTTGAATAATCTAGAATAATAATATCACTACTCTTTCATTTCATCATTCAGTAACTCTTATATATATATTTGCTTTTATTCTCATACAAAACAATGGATCAAATCATAACTGGTATTATTAAAAGTACACATCCATTTAAAGTAAAACAACAATTACTTGAACGTTTAAAATCAGCATATTTACAAACTCCTTGTTCAACAACAATACCAGTAAACAATCGAGCATGTTATCATATTATAAACTATGTACGTGAATTAACATCAACTAAAATTGATCTTGATACATTAGCATTTTGTCGTACTTGTTTGGAATGTTGTCATAGTCCCGAATGTCTTTGTTCAATTGCTGAACATTTAATAAATGATGCACATATTGATTTATCAATACCATTTGTCCAATTATTAAGTGATCGTTTACCAATTGAAATTGGTCGACCATTTTTAGAACGTGCTATTTTTGAAAGACATGAATTAAATAATGAAGCATTACATTTTATTTTATTATCTATAACAAAAAATCGACAATTAACTGATGGACAACGAACAATATTCTATATAAAATTAGTTGAATTAGTTTTATTTCGTTTACGTACATTTGATCATTCAATTGAACAAGTTGAATTATTTTGTAAACAATTATTATCAACTATTGAAGAATTATGTTATGAAAATAATAAAAAGTCGAATCATTTATTAAATGATATTGTTAATGGTGTTACAAGTGGTTTATTAACATGTTTAGCTGATTCAACAGTAACAAATGAACCATCAACAGCATTAGCAAACATTATTGACCTATTACAAGAATGTCCAAATGAAAATTTACTTGATTCATTTATTTTAGTAAATAAAATATTTGATGTATTTTCTAATTGAACAATTTTTTCAATTTGTTTAGACAATCGATGATGATAGATTAATATTATGTCTCAATCGTTTAGCTCGAGTTTTTCGTTGGCCATGTTCAACAACAAAACCATCACAATGGCTTGTTTCAATTTGGAAATTATTATTTAAACGTGAACGGGAAATGCTTGTAGCACAATCAGCATCATCATCAATTATCTCCGATGTATATTTATATTAAATTCTTTTCAATTAACTAGTGATCTATAGGATAAACTTGAGTATTTATATAAAATCAGAATAGCGTAGTATATCTGTAGGAGATCCGTGATAAATAAGTCTTATTTACAATAATATTTTAATTCTAAAAAAAAATACGATTATTTTAGTTAATATCAATGCTTGGTAATCCATCATCTTATCAAAATGTTATTCCAGCTTTATGTTGGATATTTGTAAATCAACCATTTCATTTACAAACTGTATGTAAATAAATCATTGCTATTATTTTATTTCTATTCATTTATTTATTTTAGTTTGCAAGTACTTTACAAAGTGAAATGGTTCAACTTGTTCTAAATAATCCAAATTTTCTTATTGATAATATTGAAATGAATAATCTTGTTGAAAGTGTTCGTTATGGTCTTAAAAGTTTATTAAATAATGAAGATAATCTTCTTAATAATGAATTATTAAATAATTTACTTCAAGTAAAAAACAAACGATATTTTTTCTAATCAAATATTTTCTTATCGAAATTTAGAGTCTTCCAAAGCCAAATTCAACTTATGCAAAAAATATTCAATTAATGAAATGTAAATCATCATCAATAGACAATTATTCAAATGAAATACCAATTCGTTTACATGATAAAGTTGGTTTAATTAATATTGGCAATACTTGTTATCTAAATGCAATTATGCAAGCATTATATGCTTGTACAAAATTTCGACAATGTGTACTTAATTGTGATATATTGTCTTCAAATAATGAATTATTAAAATCTCTACAAAATTTATTTGCTTTTTTAACACTTTCACAAGTATAAAAAAAGGAAATTCCTATGAATAATATTTAATTCTATTTTGTAGAGACCACATTATCGACCAGAAAGATTTTGGCATCAAGCAAAACCATCTTATTTTGAACATAATCAACAACAAGATTGTCAAGAATTTCTTCGACATTTCCTTGACGCACTTCATGAAGAAGCAAAAAAAACAACACAAAATGAGTATGTAATTTCTTATACAAACTTTTCTATAGTTCTTACGAGGGAGCATTCCAAACTGCCAAATTGCTTTTTAAGTTTATCGACCATGCTGATTTCGAATATGACTATGAGAAGTGCCCTGAAGTCTTTATAGAGCGTATCGAATTATCTATGAAACAACAACTCTTTCTCTTTCGAATAGAATATTCGAGAAAATACAGCCAAGTAAATCTATAAAACAGGTACACACCATAACAACTTAATACGAAAATACAAAGGTTTGTATTTGAGCGAATAAAAAACAACATTTAGTAAAAAGTATGTGGTTTTGTGGAAACCGATTTTCTAGAAAACCACTCTTAAAAAGCGATTTGGCAGTTGAGAAAGTTCCCTTATTAGTAACTCTTATCATTTCAAAAGCTCCCAGGAGAAATCAATAGAAGAGTCAGTAAACTAATAAGAAAACGAATGAATTTATTTTATTATTTTTAAGATCAAATCTCGATCTTGTTAAACAACATCTTATGGGTACATGTGTACATCTGAGTAAATGTTTAACATGTTCATCAATAACGAAATCTCAAGATTTATTTTATGAATTATCTATTGGTTTTCATGAACAATCATCAACAAATGATGATCAACAAAAAATCTTTGATTTACAATCTCTTATTGATCATACATTTGCATGGGAATCATTAATAAATGAAAATCAATTTGCATGTGATAAATGTGGTAAAAAAGAAGATGGTTCACGTCGAATGTTTTTAACATCACATCCAAATTATCTTGTTTTATTATTAAAACGTTTTGTACATAATCATCTTACTGGTAAATATGAAAAATGTCTTGATCGTACAACATTACCAGAATTTATACAATTATTAACTGTAAATGAAACATTTATATCATATCGATTAAAAGCAATTGTTGTTCATCATGGTTTATCAATGAATAGTGGACATTATTATGCATTTGTTATGATTAATAATGATGATTTAATTGATAAAAATAATAATAATTCGATTGGTTGGTGGCTTTTTAATGATACACATGTTGAACATTTAACATATGAAAATGTTTATGCACATTTTCAACGTTTTCCATCAGCTACACCTTACGTTCTTATATATGAAAAACAACTTCAAGGTTGAAATTTTATAATTTAAATTTAAAAAAAATAAATTTTATTTTTTAGAAAAAGAAACCGAAACTACACAACTATCAATTGTACCTTATTTACAAACATTCGTTGATCGTGATAATCAACTTTATACTCAAGTAAATCTCGATATTTATTATTCGTAAATAAATTTCTTTTTTTTTTCGTAGGAACAAAAACGTCGTGGTCGTTCATCAAGATCAGCTGATGTATCAGATGTAAATGAACCTTATTTACGAAATACCGGATGTAAAGATCAAAGTCCTGATCGTGGACCACCATGTATTTTTTAAAAATATATAATTTCTGATGTATAGCTAAAAATTAAAACGTTTCTTTTACGTGTGTATGAACAGTTATGTAAATTTTTAAGCTATTTCTTCTCTTCTTCTTCTTCTTCTTCTTTTTCTCCTCTTTTATTTATAATGTACAGATAAACTTGATGACACTATTTATTAGAAAAGAAAATAGCATCATAAATATTATACTATTGATATTTCTTTGCTAATCAATATAAAACAAATTTTAAGAACATGTTTAAAACATTGTTGATGAACAAAGCGATTAATCCATAGCGAAAGATAATCACTGTCTGAGAATTTCAATACAAGCATCTATGTAACAATTTTCACGCATAGAGGAAAAAAAACGATGTTTATTTTTCATATCTTTATAAAAATCAAAGATTACTTTATAATTGCTTGTAATTTCCGTATCGCATCCATCGTTGTCTACATTTACAATGACCACCCACATTTAACTCATTTTTTCCAGTTTGTCTACGAACAATTGACTTTCATTATTTCATTTTTCGGAAACGCCTTAATTCTGTTATACAAGAGAAAAGAAAAAGGTCAACTAACACCACACGATAGGAAATGAAATCGAATTCTCTCATATTTACATCTGTTTCTCGTTTATAATTCTAGCTGAGAATATAGTCATATCACCGTTCTAGTCTAATATATATATTCTATTTGAACACTATATGTTGAGATAATTTTTTGTCCAATATCAATGCCATATTAACAGACTATTGTAGAGAAAAACAACAAAAGATATCACATATATGAGTGAATTATAAGAGCTCTTAACTATATCATCAAAATCAACCTCGTAAAAAAATAAATTGCGTTTGATGAAAACTAAACAGTAAAATTGATAATTGCCTGTCAGATTAGATATACAAAATAGATACAATTCATATTATATATATATATATATATATATATTCAATATTGAAGTTAAAATTTGATGAATATATTTATTTTTCTTGATTTCACTCAATTAAATACTGATTCATCATCATCATCATCTTGAATAATAATACGGTAAGTACATATATCCGTTATAATGTACACGTGCATTCACTCCCGTATCGCCTTTTAAAAGATATACTTCAATCATTTCTATAACTGCTAATTTCTTTTTTCTGATGCGCACATGATATCAACTAGTCTTAACAAAACAAACATCGTCAATATAGCCGACAAAAACAACAAAAATCAAACTTTAGAAAGTGCCGTTGTATATGTATTATTCTTAAAAACACCACATGAGATCAAACTTTAGAAAAGTAAACTTATTTTTTCGTTACAACAAAGTACCAGCTTTCTTCTTTCCATATCAATATACATTTCATTGTATCATCTGGTTCGAGAATTTTAATCATTTTGTTCAACTTATGTTGTTGAACGAACGATGATAATTAATCGTTACGCTCGTGTATATGATTAATCAAGAATAAGTATTAATCATTTCAATTATTCATAGCATCATCAATTAAATATTTGTATTCGTCACTAAGAAATGAAATGTTGAGTATATATCAAATATAGGAAAGGTGTTTCTATATTATATGAATAGTCTATCGACACATTTACACCTGTTTCTTCCTACATACTCATCTATCCAATGAAATGACGATAAAAGCATATTGTTTATATCCAATAAATAATTCTCTTATTTCTTCTCCTCTCTTCTTCTTCCTCTTCTTCTTCTTCTATGTTAATAGTATATTCATTCAGTTACGTCTTAATTTAATTTGTTTTCATATCCACGCATTCTCTCTTTGGCTGTCATCAATATTAATCAGCCTAATTGTTGGGTAAGGTTTCTTTCTATATTTTTAAATAGTTATAAAAACTATCTTTCTAAGTGTTAATTTTCTTCTACCTTTCGGTCATTTGTCGGACTAAATTAACAAAACGTGAGACGCCTGTTTCATCTTTTTAAGTTGTCTGTGTTTTTATTATTTTACTTTGTTGATCTATTTTATACGGCTTACTCACCTATTCGTTCGTATTGAATAGGTGTGAGCGCACGAGCACTCATATATTTTGTACTACGTAACTTCAAATAGTCTCATAACCGCAGCAGAAAAAGTTATTAACACTTACGATTACGTTTTTCCTTAAGAGTGAGAGAATATCGACGATATTACCACCTGATAATAAAATCGTATTTTCTCTGATACACCTCATCGATAATGACAGTAAAATTTTCACTTTGATTACGTATGTGCGTATATCGAATAATTATATATGATGCCGGCTGATAAATTCTTCTTTTCTGTATATAAATATATAATATTTTTTAGAATGAATTCACTTGCTTCAATTCTATATTCATCTTCATCAGCTAAAATAAAGAAACGTAAAAATCTTTCATTACAACCATCAATAAAACCAATAATAACAATGGATTCAAAAGCATCAAAATGTAAAGTTAGTGGCATGTTATTTCGTTCATCAACACCTAAAACATCTTTAACAACAGCAGGTAGGCATACATGCATAAATTTTCATTGAATATATAATTGATTATGAAACAATGTCTTTTTGATTATCATTTATTCGTTAGAATATATTAACTAAAAGGATGAGTCGACAATATCACAGTTTTATGTTAAATGTAAATCAAGAAGAAGAAGAAATAAAAAGACCGACAGGATATCCTATATTGAAGTGTGTGCAATCACAGCATCACTATACTAACTAACAATTGTCGCCTTCGATTTGAGAAAAAGCTGAGAGAAACATTTGATTAACAGAAACTCAAAATATAACATTTTATATTAATTGGATAAAGTTTTTTGTTTAGTTTTTCAAGAATAATAAATAAAAATGAATTTTTATTGACAAATTGTCGGGTTGTTTTTCTTTGAAGATCTGACATAACAATACGCCCTTCCCTTTCACTTTGAATTTATCATTTATGTCTATAACCTTAGAAAAAAAGACAAATAAAACATCTATTTATCTTTATTTAGTTCATCCAACATCAACATCATCTTATTTTTCAACAAATTCTCCTCCTCAAAGTCCACGATGTTCAACACCCTTATTTTCTAAACAAAGACGAACAAGACCATTTATTGTCTGTGAACTTTGTCGACAACGAGCATTTGAATCATTAGATGAAAATAAAAATGAAAAAGATCATATATCATATCATCGTTCAACAACATCAGTTCATTATCAAAAACAAACAAGTATAAAAAGTCATCGTAGACGTTCATCAATTGACCAATTACTTGTCTGGATTATTTAATATGAAAATACATTCATTCGCCTTTTTTTTAGTCCGAACAGTAGATTTGACATTGTTTTGTTTTCTGTATATAAATTGTTACATTAAATTTCGTGTGTCTTTTTGTTCTTATGAATAAAGAAAAAAATCTATAGTTTATTTTTTGTCTTGACAACCTATTACAAAAGAATAAAAAAAAACTATGCATATATGTCCTATCAAGATTATGAAAAATCATTACAACAAGCTCGAATATCTCTTCTTAATTCTACTTTTGAACGATTTTGGATTCAATCAAAATCTACAACAAAAACATATTCGTCATGGTATAATTCTTTGAAATATCAATATATTATTATCTTTCTTATTTTTATTACTATTCTTCTTCTTGTATTTTCACTTCCATTTATTATTTTCTCACAATATTATTCGAATTCATATCATCAACAATGTTCATCACTTGCATGTATATCAACATCACATCGAATTATTGAAAATCTTGATTTAAATATAAATCCATGTGAAAATTTCTATCAATATGCATGTGGTGGATGGATTGATAATCATTTTTTAACACCAAGTGAAACATCCATTAGTTATTTTAAAGAAATTTATAAAAATAATTTAATTATTTTATATAAAATTCTTCAAAATAATTCCGAAATAAATTCACCGTCAATAGAAAAATTACAAAATTATTTTTATTCTTGTATGAATACAATAAATAATGAAAATTTAGCAAGACAAACTTTATTAAATATTCTTCAACCTATTGGATATTCACCATTATTAGTAAAAAATTGGTTAGGAACAGATTTTAATCTTGTTTCAAGTCTGATTTATACTCATCAATATAAAATCAATCCATTATTTCATATTGGTATTACAATTGATGAAAAAAATAATAAATATTATCGTATTTTTTTTGAACAATCTGGTTTATCATTTGATGAACATTTTCGTTATTATGATAAACATGTTCGTTATTTATTTAATCAATTTGGTATAAAATTATTTCAATATCTTCATTCATCATTATCTTATTATGATATATTAAAACAAATTGATGAAATATTTCTATTTGAAAAACGTTTAGCATCAATTTTTCAAATAAAAAAATCTCATAATCCGTATGAATATTATCATATACGGACATATGAACAACTGCAACAATTATTTTCTACTTGGTTTAATATTGAAATTTATTTACAAAGAATTTTTCATAAAAATCAAACATTTTTTTCTAATCAAACATTTCTTATATTAACACCGAATTATTTCAATAGATTAAATGAAATAATTCAAACAACACCAAAATATATTTTAGCAAATTATATAACATTTCAAATTATACAAGATTTATTACCTTATATGTCGGAAAATTTTATTCAGATTCAAAAATCATTAAAAATCTATTTAAAAGGTATTACAGAAGAAAAACCATTATGGGAAATTTGTATGAAAAGAACAGATGAAGCATTTGGATTTGCTACGGGTAGAAAAAATTACAGAATTAAGTTTTATTGCTTTTGATATTGTTTAGGTGCGTTATTTATTTCAAAAATATTTCATGAAAAAAATAAAGAAAAAATCGAATATATTGTTGAAGAAATTCATTCAGCATTTATTGAAACTTTACCGAATATTAAATGGATGGATAATGAAACACGTCAACAAGCACAAATAAAAGCAAAAATGATTATTAGTAGATGAAATGAATATTTTTAGATTAAAAAAGAATATATCTTAGAATATAGATAGACTTGGTTATCCAAAATGGATTGAAGATAATAGAAATATTGATAGATTCTATCAAGATTTAATTCTATCAAAGACTAATAATTCAATTATTAATCATATATTAGTACAACGATTTCAAAAAGAACAAAATTTGAAAAAACTTGTAAGATATCTTGTAATCAAATTACGCTGTTGTAAAATAATATAGGATCAACGTCCGAATATGGAAGAATGGATAATGACACCAGTTGATGTAAATGCATATTATACACCATCGAAAAATATGATTGTATTTCCAGCTGGAATTTTACAAACACCGTATAGAAGTTTATGAAATAAATTATTACAAAATTTTGTTCATTTAGATTTTTCGACCCTAATATACCTATTTCATTGAATTTTGGATCGATTGCGTCAATTATTGGTCGTAAGTAGATTTAACTTAAATATATAATTCATATTCTTTTCATTATTTTAGATGAACTTATACATGCATTTGATGCAAGGTTTGTTTCTAAAGATATATACTTTGTAAATTAAATAATCTACTATTAAATTATAAAATTTCATTGTATGATTAGTGGTCGACATTTTGATGGGTATGGAAATCTAAATAATTGGTGGAAGAAAAGTTCAGCTCATCGCTTCGATGAACATGCTCAATGTTTTATTGAACAATATGATAAATATCGCATCGGTAACGAACATATCAATGGATTATTAACATTAGATGAAAATGTAAATACTGAACTATAATGTTTCTTTCATTTAAAATTATCATTATTATTATTCTTAAGATTGCTGATAATGGTGGTTTACGAATAGCTTATACAGCTTATAAACGTTATTTAAAACGTCATCATTTACTTTCGATGAAATATATTAAGCATCAACAGCAGCAACTTTTACCTGGTCTTAATTTAACAGATGAACAATTCTTTTTTATTGGTTTTGCACAAACATGGTGTACAAAAACTACGTTTGAAAATGCTAATATAGCTTTAAGTACTGATACACATGCTCATCCAAAATATCGTGTTATTGGTTCTTTATCAAATATGCCAGAATTTTCAAAAGCATTCAAATGTTTAAAAGGATCTTCAATGAATCCTGAAAAACGATGTGAAATATGGTTAACATCAAAGATTGTGAAACAACCATGTTGAGGATGTGGGTGTGGAATGGACTCAGCACCTAAATTCATGCCCACCATACCCAGAACACAATTTAAGCTCAGCAAACTATTTGACAAAAAAAAGTGTAGTAGGAAAAAATTGATTTGATTGAACGTAGTATTCACTTGAGAACGATTATTCATACGTTATCATTACATGTGAACTCGCTCTCATCCGAATATATGTAGTTGGCAACAACCAATGATTAATATTCTTCACACCCTGTATTTATATTCACTCAGTTGTACAGATAATGATCTGTCTTTTATCAATTATGGCTCTTTTTCAATAACTGCCATACAATATCACTTCGAAATATTACTTCAATTCATATATTATTTGGTGATTGATAATTTATTAAGCAATGTGAACGATTAAATAGTTTGATTAAATAAAAAAGTGTATAATTCAGTTCAAAAAAGAAAATGTCATTATGTCCGTATGGACTAATAAAGCTCAGCACTATTGAGACAAACACCACCAGTGGTCTCTCCACCAGTAACTAACACTTTTCCATTTGTTAATATGGATGCTGTGTGATATTGTCGTGCAATACTCATGTTTACTGTAGTTGTCCAAATGCCTGTTGATGAATTGTACAATTCAGCACTATTCAGATAACCAACAATGCTGTTGTATCCACCAGCAACTAATACTAATCCATTTGCTAATGCGGATGCTGTGTGATATTCTCGTGCTGTATTCATGGGTCCTGTGATTGTCCAAGTGCTTGTTGATGGATTGTACAATTCAGCGCTATTGAGAATACTACTATCGCTGGTTCCTCCAGCAACTAATACGTTTCCATTTGCTAATATGGATGCTGTGTGATATTTTCGTCCAACATTCATGCTTCCTACGGATGTCCAAGCGCCTGATGATGGATCGTAGAATTCAGCATTGTTGAGAACACCACCGCCCTTATCTCCACCAACAACTAATACTTTTCCATTTGCTAATGTGGATGCTGTGTGGAGTTGTCGTGGAGTATTCATGCTTCCTGAGGTTATTGTCCAAGTGCCTGTTGATGGATCGTACAATTCAGCACTACTTAGATCAATACCTGAGCCGCTGATTCCACCAGCAACTAATACTTTTCCATTTGCTAATGTGGATGCTGTGTGACCTTGTCGTGCAACATTCATGCTTCCTGTTGTTGCCCAACTGTTTGTTGATGGATTGTACAATTCAGCAATATTTAGATAAGCACCTGAACCGCTGGTTCCACCAGCAACTAATACTGATCCATTTATTAATATGGATGCTGTGTGATATCCTTGTGCAAAATTCATTTTTGCTATGATAAACCAAGTACCTATTGATGGATTGTATAATTCAGCACTATTCAGATAACTACTAGCAACGCTGTTATATCCACCAGCAACTAATACTAGTCCATTTACTAATTTGGTTGCTGTGTGAAACTCTCGTGTGGTATTCATACTTCCTGTAGTTGTCCATCCTAAATAACATAGAAAAATGGTAAAAAACCTATTCTTGAAAAAATACTAATTCAGTCATATACACAAGTTGTTTATGTACTGTTTGCAAACTTAGTGATTTGAGATCATCATTATTGATACAAACACAAAACATCTAGTATATTACTGACCTGGTGCTGCTGTTGTTGATGATGTTGTTGATGATGTTGTTGTTGATGTTGATGTTGATGTTGATGATGTGCTTGATGACAATGATGTTGTTGACGCTGATGATGATGAAGGTGATGTTGATGTGATCTGATCTATATCAGAAAAATGAGATTAAAAAAGAGATACGATAATTGACTAAGGTTTCGCCCAAAATTCTGCAAGTTTCGTTCTACTAGTAGTGTATCTGATCATGAATGCATTATGATAAACTTTACATAACTTCAAATACTTTTATAAACTTTACGTTTTCATATGAGAATATGTTGAATATTTCTTATAGTATAATTTGTATGACAATAATATATGCCATTCAAAAGCAAAACTATAATATTTTTGCAGTATTTATAATATGTACTTACTCAGTGCTATGGAAATTGCTGATTGATTCATAAATACCAAAGAAGAATTTAGATTAAATGCAATTAAAATCGAACTGTCATTTGTAGAAAATAATTGACATGTTTGATTTATTGAAAAATAATTTAATGTCGATATTGCTCCATTTGAATTTACCATTTCGCATATACACTGACTTTGCGTTATATTCCATAATGATTTATATATATTACCAATCAATATATTATTATCTCTTTTACCGATAAGAATGCAATCACCAGTAGAAAATATCAGTAAAACAAAAAATATCCAAAACATCTTTTTTGACTTGTTGTTTTAAAATTCTTTTACAAATGTTTTAGAAACTAGCAATACTGTTCCTCGTTTCTTTCATTTTCTCCAACTCTCTCGTTTAATATTTAATCACTACAAAAAAAATGTTGTTGATTGTTTGTCAGGTTTGTTCAAAAAAAAAAATAACTAAAGTCATGACTATCTTACTTCCAAAGCGAATAGAATAACAACAGGAAAAAATATTACCTCAGTTTCCTTAACCATTTATGGAATTAAAATCATCACCATCAAATGAAGAAAAGAAAAAGAAACAGTTTTTTTTTGTGTTTATGTAATGGCTTTTTAAAATTAAATTACCTTCAGAATACTCATTCAATATTATGAAAGAAAAAAGAAAGTAAAAAAAATCTGATAATTAACGAATTGCTTTAACTAGACACTTAGTCATCTCGTATGTTTCTACAATAGAATGTTGTAGAAAATGGAATGCTTTTTTCCCAGTATTTCATATATAATTAGTCATCGGCGTTGCCATCAACAATAATTACAAAAATTTGATCGAATATCAAACTTTTAGCTTTGTTTAGTTTTGTCAATCATATTAGATATTATTTTAAATTCATTTGAGAATATAGATATGAGTGATATATCATTAAAAAAATCTAGGAAAACATGGGAATTGTTGTCTTACTCACAATTAATTTGATCGTAAAATCGATTTCTACTATACTATACTATACTATCCGAGAAGATAGTGATAGGAGATCTTTTTAAAAGGATTGGTTTACAAATTAGAATATAGGATAAATGGGAAAAGAGAATGTGTTGTAGAGTTCACAGATCACTGTTAATATTCGATAGTAATCTATCAGAATGTTCATTTGCCATCGACAGCGTTGATGCAGCTACTAATGAGAAAATATATTTATGACGTGATTCAAGCCGACTATGAACAATATTAGTACTGAATTGTTCTTAATATTGTGTCTAGCGACACTGGCTCATGCCCACGTTGTTAAGACTATCTTGAGGGTGTTGGTGTGAGTCTAGATCGATAAGAGACATCCACACCATTAAACATTAAAAAACATTAAATAATTCAATAAAATATTAAAATGCCTAAATTCATTAAAAAATTTGATTTCTCATTCGCTTGTTAAAATCATATTATTCTTGATTCACTTAATATTAATTCATACCCATACCCTCATATCGTATAAATGCCTATCATCTTCTGTATGAATATTATTTATTTTACGTTTTCATGATGTATATGTAGATGAAAAGACACAGCCCGCTATACTCTCACACACTCTATAGTTTAAATAAGTTCTTTTTTCTTTTATAAAATTCAATATTATAATAAATCAAAGAAAGTCTGTTTCATATATTTTTCGAGTAAAATGGTACACTGTCAAAGCCAACATTTAGTAGAATCATCTTTAGTGCAGTTCCAGTCTTTATTCCACATAGACGATGTTGATTTATCAATAAACGAATGATCGCCATGGTCATGGAAAAAAATTTTTCTTGGAATAGTTTTTGATAGTTGATCAAGATAACTTTTTGCTCGTGCACTAAGTTTATTCATGTCAACAGCTAATATTTTCAATGTCTGTGTTGAATAATCGTTTTAGATATGTGATAAGGAAGAGCACATATTATCTTACCGTATTGATTTGTAATGCATTACCTAAAAAAAGTGCTCCTCGATCCGTGATGTCGTTTCCTCCAAGATCCAGTTCTATAAGTGTCTATATTAAATATAAATAATAAATTTATAATAGATAGAAGAAAAAAAATTATCTAACCGTGTTAATATTCAATGTATCAGCGAAATATTGTGCTCCTTGCTGACCTATTTTAGCCCATCCAAGATGTAGCTCTATAAGTGTCTGTATAAAAATAAAAATTTGATTAATGAAAATACAAAATTTTATTATACTGTATTAGTTTTTAATGCCTTCGCTATATATTGTGCTCCTTGAGCACCCATTTCGTTTTCATTGAGGGAGAGGACTTTCAATGTCTATTTTGAACGAAAATAATGATTATTTGTTCGATGAAAATATCAATTGTCATACTGTATTAATTTCTAATGTATTCGCCAGGCATTGCGCCCCTTGAACGCCAATTTTGCTTGCATTGAGACGAAGAGTTTTCAATGTCTATGTTAAATAAAAATAATGAGTACTTGTCTGATAAGTATAGAAATTGTTATACCGTATTGACTTTTAAAGCATTAGCTAAATATTGTGCTCCTTCATCACCGATTTTGTTGTCTGTAAGATTCAGCTCTGTAAGTGTCTAAGTTACAAGATAATGATGAATTTATGATGAATGAGAAGAAAAAACTGTGCTACTGTATTAGTTTTTAATATATCAGCAATATATTTTACTCCTTCATCACTGATTTTGTTGCGGTACAGATTCAAAACTTCAAGTATCTAATTAAAATGATCGTAATAAATATATGACAAATAATAATAAAAATTCTCCTACCATATCAGTTTGTAATGCATCAGTTAAATATTTTACTCCATTGTCGCCAATTTTATTATTTGCAAAATCCAACTCTTTAAGGCTCTGTGCTCAATAATAATATTGAATATATGATATATAAATACGAACATTATCTTACCGTGTTCATTTTTAATGAATTAGCTAGATATTTTAAGTTCTCATCGACTATGTTCTTATATCGAAGAGTTAATTTAGTGCATACCTATATAAAAAAAACTGGCTGATAAGTTTAAAGGATTTAATGCTGGTATAAATATTAACGGAGTTTACCTTATATCGTGGATACGTATCAATTATGGTATTCAACCGTGTGCAAACGCCATAAGCCGAAAGTAAAATTATTGGTATATCAAGATGATCAAGAATGCGATAAACAAGTTCAACAGGTAATGTAAGAAGAGTCAGAGAATTCTTCTTAGTCACGAATACTGTTTCTTCTTCAACAGTATATTTTCCTGAATAATGCATATGATCCTAACAATGACAAACAAAATCAATCCAAAATACCTAATACGCATCGAGATAATACTTTATATAAAAAAAAACATTGTTTGGACATTCAATTTATTAATAAAATGATATACAACAAAGAACTATATATATATAGGTGATGCGATAATACATTGAAGTATGTCATAAAATGAAAAGAAAATGATAAGGAATAAGACCGTATCTTGTTGGAAAATTCTTTTCATCCGATATTGAATTTCTATTATTTTTCTCATTTAGATAGACCTTCGAAACAATAGAGGGCATACGTAATACGAATTAAAATCATTTATATAACACGAATGTTGTCAAGGGTTCAAACGGACCCACACTCTAGGTTTTGATTGCTGATAGTTTTACAAGAAATTTCATATGGGTCTTATACATCATTAGAAGACTAACGATTAACGAAGAGATTACTTCGAATTGCATAGATCTTAAAGTAGAAAAAATAAAAAGCACCACAGCAGGTCTCCTGGAACCCGCAAACACCTCTGGAAGGTTAAAGATATGTTGCTTTTAGTATCTATTTTTCTATTCTCATATCTGAAAATTAATTCATCTAGTGAGAAAAATCGTAACAAACCTTTCACGTCCTGAAGTGTGAGTGTCGAATGATATTTTATTGTAAAATATGCTGTTTCACACACGTCTATATATATTATGAAATATGTGTACAAGAAGGAATATTCCGCAACAAGAACTGGGATTATACCAAGAGGGATAATTCTAATGAATGCAGAAGAACGAAAGAACATGTATGTGAGATATACTAACAACATCTATAGAAAGAAAAAAAGAACTATAACGAACGGTTGTAATCTAGATCCATACATCAGAAAACCACAGAGAAATGTATCCGAACACACTATCTAGAAAGATTATTTTTCTCTTAGAACTTGTATTCACATTTACTACCAATTCCTCTTTTGACATCGATATTTGAAAGAGAATCTTGAACTCTTAACATATTCTAAGGATTTAATGTTATTAAAGGCGATTCTGATAGATGTCATCCAAAGCCAATAATTTCTAGAAATATAAATAAATATATAGTTTAATATTTATTATTATTCCATAATTTTCAATAGTTTTTTAATTGTTTCATTCTTTTCTATGTTTATATTATCATATTTATCATTGATCGACATCAACGGTTTCTTCTAAACCAATAACATTCATTGAAAAACAATCCTTTTGTTTGTTTTTTATTGTTTCGATTACAGAAAAAAAGGACGATCTATTCAATAATTACCTTGAACAATGTTGTAGACTTCTTCTATGTACATTATGGTTTGTATTTAATTTAGTCCAAATAATAATCTCATTTATTTTCTTCGCTATCATCATTTTAGTAATACACTTCCACGTGAAATAGTCACAATTAATGGCCAAGAATCAATAGTTTGCCTGTAAAAAATATAATATTCCCTTAATTTTTTCTCTATTCTTTTTTTCATTTAAGCTCATGTGCAGAAAAACAATATTCTAATGGAAAAATTCCTTATCTATCATTAATACAATCAAATATAAAATATAATAAAGTTTTAGCATTACTTAATCGAACATTTCGTACATTCTATGATTTAAGTAAGTATATATTATTAAATTTTCTCTCTTACACGTATATTCTAAATTTAGGTGATTTAACAAATGAATCTAAAGAACATATTGAACAAAAAAAAGAAGCTATTAAAGAAGGTGTATTAACATGTTTAAATTTATTACGTCCAACTATTCGAGAAAATAATCAAATAGCACCAATAAATGATATAAAAAAGAAGATAATAATCAAGAAAAAACATTTAAATATTCTTCATAATGAGAGTGATGATGATGATGATGACGATGAAAATGAAAAAGAAAATCAATCAACAACACCTGTTAGCGACGATAATTCTATGCGACGTAAAACTGTACGTGGTTCAAATACATCAAAACGATCAGTTAGTATAAAAACATCTGATAATGAATCACCATCTAAACGAACAAAAATAATTCAAGATATTGATAAACCATTAGCAGTAATAAGTCCAACTGTTACTAAGAAAATAACACCTAATCGAAAGAAAAAAGCTGATGATAATGATGAAGAAAAAAAACCGAAATCAATTCGTTTAATACGAAAAGTTCAACAAACAGCAGATGATTCAAAAATTCTTGAAACATCTAAATTAATAAGAAAACAAGATACTGAAGAAGAAACAGATGTAAGAATTATTTCTATATTAAAATTAAGAATAAATTCAATATTATCATAGATTCATCGTAAAAAACCAATCTTACCAAATAAATCTTCCAATGATATACGGAATGATAAAGGTGAATCAATAATACATCAAGCAGTTAAAAAAGGTGATATAACTCGTGTTAAACAATTGATCGAAGAAGAATATTCTGTCAATACAATTGATCATAATTCATGGACACCATTACATGAGGTAAAATTTTAAACATAAATCTTAGTGTATACGAAAAAAGAATTATATTTTTAATAGGCTAGTTCAATGTGTGATATTCCATTAATGGAATTATTACTTGCAAATAATGCTAATATTAATATTCAAGGTGGTAATGAACGAATGACTGTTTTACATGAAGCAGTTTTAAATGAAAATGTGGATGAATCTATTATTAAATTTTTACTTGAAAATGGTGCTGATCCACATTTAAAGTATACATCTTTATTTTTGATATAAATTTTGTTTCTATTTATTCTTGATTTTTAAGAAATAAAAATGGTAAAACAGCTATTGATCTTGCAACTACATCAACAAATACTAAAATTTTATCATTATTCGAAAAAATTCAATGTTTAAAACCTAGTCAAAATGATTTACCAATTGCTCCACCACCATCACGACGACGTGGACGAACAACATCATCATCTACTATACTGTTTTTTACTGGTTTTGATAAAGCACGTAAAGAATCATTAATAAAATCTGTTCAGTCAATATTTGGTCGTAAATGTGTAACAGCAGCAAAAAATATTGAAAATAATGGTTGAATATTTTCTTATGAAAAAAATTTTCTTTACATAAAAATATGATGATTTATTTTAGTTACGCATGTTATTGCCTGTGGCGAACAAGATAAAATTGCCTTTCGAACGATAAATTATCTACGTGGAATTGTTCTTGGAAGATGGATTGTTTCGGAAAAATGTAAAGTTTAGCTTTTAAATTTTCTTATTTTTACATTTTTTGCTTCGTTTAGGGATTGATGAATGTATAAATAAAAAAGAATGGATAAATGAAAATGATTATGAAATTATTGGTTCACAACTTGAACCGAATTCAAATGGTGCACATATAAGTCGAATGAAACATGAACAAAAAGTAATAAACAAAAGTTTTATTTCTATCTTTATTTTTTTGTCTTTTTCAAAGGAAATACTTCTTTTTGATAAATGTGAATTTTATCTCTATGGACAATTTCATACATATAAAAAAGAAGATTTAGCTGAATTAATTAAAATAACGAATGGAATTTTACTTAAACGTGAACCAAAATTACATCGAATTGATAGTGATACAGATATAAATTCTAATAATCAATTAACAATGACATATATTATATATGAAACAACTATACCGGATGTTCTTCATGATAATAATCGTATAAAACATATAAAATTACTTGATTTTTTGGCTTGTATAGATTATTATGAAACTCTTAAACAATTAGATAATTAATAAAACAAAATCAATAATCACTTTATTTTTATTTCTAGATTTATAACTATTAAAGAATGTTTTATATCGATCTATTTCAAGGTAATTATCATTTTTTCTTTTTTTTAAAAATTTAAAAAAAGAATTTTTATATACAAGTATGAGAGAGTTCTGAGTATTGACTGACTGATTCGACACTATACTCATTTCTTGTCTATTTGTAGATTTAGTCAACAGAGGCAAACAATAGGAAGAGATTTTATCACATGCATCTCGTGAACGAGTGAGAGAATAGCATTTACGAATATGATCGACAGTGTACACAATCGCGTTTGTAATATATATATATATCTCATATGTTTCGTATTTTGTAATGAGAAGATTTATTTGTATAAATTTTATATAGAATAAAGAAAAAAGGAAATAAAAATTTAATTTTAGATGATCAAACGATTATCAATATAAAAACTAGAATAAAATGTCGGAAGAAACAATACTAATACAGAATCCAGTTGTTAATGATGAAACAAATCCAGTAGCAACAATAAAAGATGAACAAATAGAAGAATCAACAACAACAACAACAACAGCAAATGGTTTACTTGAATCGAATGGAACAGATCAAACTGAACAATTACAAGAAAAAATTGAACCAGTAGAAACTACTTCAGATGATAAAGAACAAGAAACTTATAATAAAAATGATTTAGAACCAGAATTTCTTCGAAAAGTTTTTATTGGAGGACTTTCATATAAAACAGATGATCAAGCTTTTAAAAGTTATTTTTCAACTTATGGAGATATTGTTGTAAGTATTGAATAAATAAATTAGTAAATCTCATTTTTATAACATCGAATCTATATGATTACTTTAGGATTGTATTATAATGCGTGATAGAGACGGTCGATCTCGAGGTAAAAATTTATATAAATTAACTTCGAATATTTATTCGATTTTATTGAATTAGGTTTTGGTTTTGTTACTTATGCATCATCAGCAATGGTCGATCGGTTAATGGCTGGTCGTCCACATATTCTTGATACACGTGAAATTGAACCAAAACGAGCAGTACCAAGAGAAGAAAGTGGAAAACCAGAATCATCTTTAAGTGCGAAAAAATTATTTGTTGGTGGTATTCGAGAAGGATCAATCAATGAACATGATTTAAATGAATATTTTTCAAAAGTAAATCATTTCGTATATATAATCAGATTCTAGAAAAATGTTTTATTTTCATTTTCATTTTAGTATGGAAACATTATCGATGCTGTTATTATGAAAACAAATGAAGGAAAATTACGTGGATTTGGATTTGTTGAATTCGATGAGTAAGATTTTTTTTTTGTGAAGAAAATAATATTTATCTTTGTAATTTTTGTAGTTATGACCCAGTAGATAAAATTGTTCTGGAGAAACATCATGTTATTAAAGGAAATGCTGTCAATGTAGAAAAAGCTCTACCTAAAGATCAAACAAATCGTGCTCGACATGCTGCATCAAATTATGCTGGTGGTGGTGGCGGTGGTATGCGTGGTCCACCAAGAACAGGTGGTGGATGGGGACCAATGGGTGGCCAGTCAAATTTTGGTGGAGGCGGCTATAATGGAGGAGGTGGCTATGGCGGCGGAGGTGGTTATAGATCTGGTGGTGGAGGAAGAGGCGGTGGCTATAATCCTGGTGGAGACTATGGCAATCGATCTTCAAATTATGGTGGTGATATGGGCGGTGGTATGGGAGGTAACGGTGGTGGTGGTATAATGGGCTTCGGTGGTCCAGGACCTATGGGTGGAGGAGTAGGTGAAAACTATGGAATGGGAGGACCACCTCGCACTGGTTATGAGGAGAGTAAGTGAAAAGATTTCTATTATATTTCTGTTCAAATTATTGCTTCTTTAGGTTATGGAGCTTTTGGTACACCATCTGATTTTGGTGGTTTCGGTCAAAATTATGGATCATCGCAAGGTGGTGGCCCAATGAGACGCGGTGGTGGTGGTCGAGGTGGCTATAATCGTGGCGGTGGTCGAGGAGATGGTGGTTATCGTGGTCGCAATTAAATGATCTCAAGAAAGGAACATTTGTTATTCCTATTTACATCTTTTTCATTTTGTTCTATGTTTATGTGCGTATGTCTATGTATATATCAATACGAAGCAGCAACAGATTGAAAAAGAACTTATCTTTTTCTCATTTCAATAATACACTCAGACGATGCTCGATAATATTTTGTTTTCGATATTTCGAGCTGTATACACATAGGAAAGGAATTTCTTGGTTGTCTTGTTCTCTCATTTCTTTTTTCTCTTTTTCTTTTTCTTTTGTTTAAACATACTGTTGTCCTTTATTGTCTTCGTTTACTGTTGTTATCTATATCAGTGTTATTTCTTTTTTTTTCTTTTTTCATTTGGATAAAATAAACATATGTTATGAGTGATTAACAGCATAAAAAAAAGAAACGAAAATTTGTTTTTATGCTAAACAATTCTTATACCCAAATAGCTAAGATAATGACAACAATCATAGAGAAACAAAAAACTTCTAGAATATATAATGAACACACATACACATAAACAACAGCGCCGATTTTGTATATATGTATTATCACTGTTGTGGACCTCGCGCTGTTCATCGTCAAATTTGAGAAGAAAGAACAAGTTCCACGCACAAATATGTAAATGAAATTGAAGAAAAAAAAATGAGAAATAAAGATTTCACATATAGATTAAATGAACACAAAGATTCTACGATAAAAATTTATCATTATGATAGAACGATGATAACAAAAGAAAACGAAACTTTGTACAAATTAAATGATTGATGATAAATGTTAATCGATGACCGTTGTACCTATTATTTATCTAAACCATATGATAAGATGATAGTTGATCACTACTAAACATGATGATATGAGTCGTTGTCATGCTAGAGAAAGGAAAATTATTGTGAATTCTATTTCTTCATATTCTACAAAACACTGAAGTTAAGTATTATATATATACTGATCAATATATGAATAGATTGCAGTGTTACGATTAAATATATATATATATATATATTATTCTAATAACTATAAATTTAAAAATAAATCTTTTTTAAAATACCTTCCATGTTGGTTAATTAAATTTCTTTTCCTTGATTTGTATTACATATAATATCGATTACCCATTTTCCAAACACACATACCATACATAACATCAATCGAGTTCTTTACTTCAACAACACATTTACCTACTTCATCATGAACTACATAACGAACGACTGACCAGCTTGTCGGCGTTATTCTTTGTCTTAGTTTTTTCTCTCTTTTCTTCCTTTCTTTCTTTTTTTTATATATTACTCAAAAAATCTCTCTCTCTCTCTCGTTCTCGTTCACTTGCATCGTTGTCGGTATGTATTTACACTGATGTCTGGCCTATATATATGTATATACATATGCAAGAGAATGACCGAGCATTGGTTGTTGGTCAATTGACGAAGAATTATCAAATAAGACCATCGAAGAAAAAGAAAAAGAGAGAGAGAAGAACTAAATATACATAAGAAACGACTACCAATGTTGATGGTTTGTCGATGTGCACATGAACGAGTGCACATCTGTCTAGACAGACTGCTCTTCTAACCTATTTAGTAGTTGTCGCTATTGTGAAAGAGAGAAAGAGAAAGCGCGATAGGGCTACTAATGAACGTATGCAATGGGAAATATGTGAATAGAATGAAAACATAACAAAAAACGATGAGCTCAATAAAAGAAATAATACAAACTTCGATTATCATCAATTGAGTATACGTGCGTCTCTTATTAGTCTATTGAGACAAAGTTAAAAGGAATCAATGTAATCATTCTTTTGTTGTATATATATAACAGAAGCTAGACATACATATATATATCATATGTACACAATATTTTTATCTATAATTTTCAATGGAAATTTTGATTTAATTATGCGTTATAAATTATTCATATTGAATACTAAGACTATAGATGATTGATGATAGAAAATACGTTTTTTTCTGTTTTAATAGAAAAGCGAGAATTAAACTAAAGAATATATTAGTGCTTTTGTTTTTTATTATCATATATTTTATTTGATGTTTACTCGAGCGAAAATTTGATGTTTAATGTGTGACCTTATTCGTTGGAGAGAATAATATATCTTTTTCTTTTCTGACCAGAGACTAAATTGATTAGTAGACTGATTGAGTGTCAATGAAGATTGATAACTTATTCATTATTGTAAAACAATGAGAGATCTATATCGATAAAGTTTTTTTATTTATTCGGACTACATACAGAATATTCTTTAGAACGTAAAGATATGAAAAACTATGGAGTACGAACCAAGTATTATCAACTCTAATAGATACTTAACACCTTTGATATACGGATCATTAAAAATATTATATTTATTGAATATTAGCATGGAAATATGTAAAAATTGATATCTTATATTTCATAAACTGGAAAATCTTTACCAAAAAGTAGTTCATGTAGAAGTGACCTCTATCTTCTATCTGATTCGATATCTTATTTCCAGATAGAGTCATTCACTCATCATACAAGGCACACGTGCTGTGTTGTTTTTTTCTTTATTCTATAAAGCAATCGTATTCTAACAGATTCAACATAATAAAAAAAAAAAGAACAAGAATGCTTGAAGTCGAAATAACACAACAACGTTCTATTCATACAACAAAATGGGAGATAGTTCTCGGTATGTTAAATACTATGATTTATTCTCAAGACTTTTTTTTTGTTTTATCATGATTCTCAGGCATGTCTTTATATCAAGTAATTAAATTACTTAAACAAAATGATGATCAGATTAAATCAGTCACATTAGTTTATAACGATAAAGTAAAATATAAAGATATTTTAAAAATAAAAAAAACAAAATAAATTATTTTTGTTTAGGATCCATTAAGTGCAGACTATACACTTAATTTACCTAATGATAGTATTTTACTTCATTTTGATTCTGTAACTCAACGATTAAAAGTAAATAGTAACTTGTTTTTTATATAAATACATTCTTATTTTTTCTCTCGAAATAGCTTATTGAATTATATGATTTAAAAAAAGTAAAACTGAAATATTTGTAAGTTATAGAAAATGATTTGAAATTCGAAAAGATTATAATTTATTGGATATTTTTTAGTGGTAATTGTTTTAATAGTCCTCAAATTGTACCAACAATTGAAAATATTAATGAAATATTTGGACCAACAAGACCCGGTGGTACGGACAAAAATTTTTTTTCTCATTTTTTTTCTATTCTTAATAATTATAATTAGATTATAATCGCGAAAGTCAATCATTTCTAATGCATTTTCCTGGTCTGACATTTTTCTTTAATCAAATTGGACCACAAGTCGAAGTACTTTTACTGATTTTTGTACTTATAATTGAATTCATATTTATCTTTTTTTCAATAGACAAAATCAATGCATGGTCTTCATTCACTACAATTTCCACCAGGACAATCACCTGTTGTTTCAAAAATTTATATTTATTACGGCAATGTTGCACTTGAATTCAGTGTACCACCATTACCAGTTAATTGTTTTAATCGTTCGGTTTTTCTTGAAAAATTATCAAATCTTATGGAAAATCAAAAAACAATTGGATTAACATGTCGATTAATGGTCGAAGGTATGACGAATATAAAAGAGAAAAATGTATCGTTACATTATTTTTATTTAGCTCATGCAACGAAAACATATAACCCAGATGATCATATTGATTATCTTGATGCAACAGTTCACTTTGATGATACTTGTCAAGTATATTTTCTAGAAATTTTTTTATTCTTTAATTTATTATTATATTTTTTTCTTTAAGGATGTTCTTTCCGTTATTGGTAGTCCAAATAGTGTTTACTATAAAACGGATGATAAAATAAAGATTCATAGTCCATCACCAACAAATTCTTCAAGTCAACGTTCACAAGATAAATCAGATTTTTATTATAATTACATCAATTTCGGCATGGTAAATTGAATATTGTTTTTTTGATAAAAAGAATTCACAACTGTTTTTTAAAGGATATTTTATTCGATGGACAAAGTCATACAGTGAAAAAATTTATTTTACATACAAATTTTCCTTGTCATTATCTTTTCGATAGGTAAAAATTGAAAATTTTAGTTTTTACAAAACTTTTATTTCGATTTTATAGTTATTTTCCGTGCAATTTTGAATTAACTGTACGAAATCATGTAACAGGAAAGGAAATTGTTGTTACTCCATCAACACGAGTAAGAAATTTGATATTTTTCATTATATTTATAATATAATCCTATTTAATAGTGGCCTGCAATACAAGAAATCTTTGATAATCGTACTCCACCTGCTATTCTTCATCGTTCATCATCAACAAATACAACAAATCCATTTGGACCAACATTTTGTCATTTAGTTAATGATGATATGATTTTTGAAGTTATGTCAAATGGATATATTGCTTCAATAAGTTTTTTTAACGAACGAGATTAAACTTTGTATTTTGTCCTCCCGTCTCTTTTCTTTTTTGCTTTATCATCGTGTGTCAGGTGTATATATATGATGATACTTCTGTTTATCAACCAAGCGTCCTATCTTTATATAAATATATATCTATTTTCTTGCGTTCTTTTGTCTGTATATTCAGATGTAAATATGTTTATTAGAGAGACAAAAAAAAATCAAGTATTTTATTTCAGATGGCAGCGAAATCTTTAGCTGGTCGAATAGCACTTGTCACAGGTGGAACACGAGGCATTGGCAAAGGAATTGCCATTGAATTAGGAGCTGCCGGAGCTCTCGTCTATGTTACAGGTAGAGATCTATTTATTCGATTTATAAACTACGTGTATATATCAAGGTCGTACAATGAAATCTTCCAATGGTAAAGGTGGTAGTTTAGAAGAAACAGCAGAAGCTGTAAGTATGTAGAATTTCTGTTAAGATAGAAGTTCATTAGTATTATAATGACTAAAGATGTTCTAATTTTAGATTCGAAGTCGTGGTGGCGAATGTGTTCCAGTACAAGTCGATCATGAGAAAAGTGAAGAAGTTGAAGCATTATTTGAACGAATTGCTAAAGAACAAGATGGTCGATTAGATATTTTAGTTAATAATGCATATAAAGGAGTTGAAGTATGAAATAGATATACAATTAAAATATAATTTTATATTTATATTTATTCTTTCTATAGCCTCTTTTAGCTGCATCGGGTAAAGCATTTTGGGAAGTTGAACCGTCATTATTTGATGACATTAATAATGTTGGCTTACGGTAAGATTAATATTATGAATATAAAATCTTAAGTATTTATTAATAGTAATCATTACTATTGTTCGGTTTACGCTGCACGATTAATGGTACCTCGAAAACAGGGTTTAATTGTGATTATTTCATCACCAGGTGGTATGCGTTATTTATTTAATGTAGCATATGGAGTTGGAAAAGCTGCTGTTAGTTAATTTTTCTTTATGTTATAATGTTGTAACTATTGTAAATATTTAGTGTGATCGTATGGCAGCTGATACAGCTACAGAATTAAAGAAGTACAATGTTGCTTCACTTTCACTTTGGCCAGGTGCTGTTTTAACAGATACTATTCAAGCGTCCGACAATGGTGCAGGAGTATATATATAAATTTCGATTTTCTTCAATATAAAAGAGAATCTTTTATTTCTACTTAATAGTTTAAAAAAACTCTTGAAAAATATGGTAAACCAGAAACAGCAGAATTTGCTGGTCGCATTATTGCTCATCTAGCACAAAGTTTGTCTTTAATCATTAATTAAAAAAAACTATAGATTAAGTTTTCTCATAGATCCATCAATAATGCAATATACAGGAAAAATAGTTCTTACAGCTGATTATGGTGAGACTTATGGCATCGTTGACACAGATGGTATGTATTGCTGAATATATATCTATTTTATCTTTTTTGATTGTTTATTTAGGTACACCTGCTGTTAATATACGTTCATTCAGTTTTCTTTTTCGACAAGTATCTGCTTTAAGTTGGTTATCGGGATGGATGCCTAACTTTTTAAAATTACCTCATTGGTTATGGCATCAAGCTAGCAATAAATTTTAAGTTTTTATATTTGATCGTTTGTTTTTTATTTGCAATGATGTAATCATGCTTTGTGATTTGTTTTTTACTAGACCGGTGGTAATATAAAATAAAGTATACAGCATGTTTAACATGAGCGCAACATGAGTTATTTTATTTGAATTTGTTGATTATTTTAAATAAAATTAGAAAGATTGTTTTTTGATAACTATAAAGATTAGAATTATGACTTGTATTTTCATTGTGATTTGCTTTTTATATTTGAATTTGTGTACACATATATATACATGTAAGAATTGTATTCAGGAGTAATGTAATATTTTATTCTAGATGGCAATATTCAAAATCTAGTTATCTTCATAGATTATAAATATTTTATTACATTCAGTAAGCAATAAATTATATGACTGACAAGAGTTAAATGATTTGTTATTTATTTTTTTGTGATGTTTATTAAATTTTTTATTATTTTAAAATAAAATATTAATTAATTTATAATATATTCTACGCAATTTAAGTTTTAGATGGCATCAGAAATAAAATTTACTCAAGACACAATGAAACAATTTAATGTAGCTAAATCCTTTACAGTTAATAAAGATCGTATTAATGCAATGAATTTTTCACTTGATGGTGAAACACTTATATCATCGAGTGATGATGATTCTATTGTTATTTATGATTGCAAAGAAGGAGAGTACGTAATCTTTTGTTTTTCTCAATAGATTAAATAATATTTTCATTGGATTTTTAGAACAAAACGAACACTATTCAGTAAGAAATATGGTGTTGATCTTATACATTTTATTCATGGTACTGAACAAGTTTTACATGGTTCTACTAAAGTCGATGGTTTGTATATTTTTAACAGAATAGATGATATTTCTTATGAAATATGTTTTCTATTATAGATGCTGTTCGATTATTACAATTAGAAGGAAATAAATATATACGCTATTATTCAGGACATACAAAACGGTAAATAAAAAAGATTATGCCTAGTTAATATATTTCTTCATTTTATTTGTAGTGTCATAAGTTTGAGTATATGCCCAACAGAAGAAACATTTCTTACATCATCAGTCGACAATACATTGCGTCTTTGGGATGTTCGTATTCCAACAGCTCAAGTAAAATAAACTTTAATTGCGTATTTAATTTTCTATTTTAAAACTTTTATTAAGGGCCTTCTTAATGCGCAAACAACTACAGGACCAAATAGTCGTCCAGTCGCTAATTTTGATCCTGAAGGTAATCGAATAATTTATAGAATACCTTTATTAATCTCTTTTCTTATAATATTAAGGTGTGGTATTTGCCGTTGGTATTCAATCGTCTCTAATCAAACTCTACGATATCCGTCATTTTGATAAAGTATGCAAACTTACCGTCAGGTAGTACAAATTAAGATTAAGATAATAATATTAAAGTTATGTTTCTTTTTTTCGTTTAGGGACCATTTACAACATTTCGACCATTGGAAATGAATGAGAATAATGATAAACAAACGACAAATACAAATTCATCAAATGAACAATGGGCACATTTAAAATTTAGTCCAGATGGAAAAATGATTTCAATTGCAACGAATGGTACTAATTTACATCTTATTGAAGCTTTTCAAGGCTTACCAATACATAAATTTACTGTAAATTTCTTCATATTATCTTCAAAATTAATTAATTAATTAATTATATTTTAGGATATTGTTAATGATAGACAAGAACCTTTACAATGTTGTTTTAGTCCTGATTCAAGTTATATTTTATGTGGTTAGTATTTCTTGGAAATAAAACTAAATTTTCATCATTGTTTTTTGTTTTATTAGGATCAGGTGATAATCAAATTTTAATTTATAAAGCGGAAAGTGGCGAAAAAGTTATTGAAAAACAAGTATATTATATATAAAATATTTTTTATCAACATAAATATCTATTTTTGATTTTATTTAGACAGAACATAGTGGTGCTATACAATGTATTCAATTCAATCCTGCTTTTCTTATGTTTGCAACAGCTCATAATAATATGGTTTGTTTTTTTCTTCGGAAAAACAAAAATCTCGTTCTACTATTATCTATTTTTAGTTATTCTGGTTACCAATGATTGATTCCCAACCACCGGATGATTTATCATCATAGTATTTATCGAACTTATATATATATATATATAAATTTTTGGTCGTAATTTATCTCATAACATATTCTCTTCTTTTTCCATTTTCATACTTTTGTTGTTACAAAATCTTTCTTTCTTTCTTCTATTACTTCCATTTGGCATGTTTGATTTGCTTGATTATGTATTTCAAACACTTTTTTTTTCACTGCATATTTTATAATGCTATGAACTTTAAATTAGATATACAAGAATTCTTTTTGTTGGTTTGAATGATTCAGTTTTTCTTCGTTAACAAAAAAAAAACAAGATGATAAATCGAGATAAAACAAATTTTCTTAAAAAAAAAAATAAAGAATCGACTAAGATGATAATTATGTGAACGGTTAAAGATATAAAGTTAGTTTCGCTTATAAATGTGTTCAATGATTGTTTTACTTGTAGACTTTATTAAAATAAAATCTGTTAAGATTAAGAGTTTGTGTTATGAAAAACTATTGGTTATAGAAAGGTATTCGACTGCAAGCTAGCTCTTTGCTTTTATTTATTAATCTTGACAATACATATGATCGATTTATTCACTCTCGTCGAGTATAGCCATAATTATATCTCAATCCAAGCTTAGCAAAATTTAATTTTTTCATAGATCTATATATTACAGTGCTGGTACAATAGTTCTATTTTGTCTATGGTTTATTGCATTCATAAAGCCAGTTAAATAGTTCATTGAAATAAACGGTAATATAATTGGTATCATATTAAGAAGAAAGAAGAAATAATTTACTTGTATATATAATAAAACTGATGAAGACATGAAAGTCATAATAAGACCATTAATTGCCATTGGAAACCAAAATATGATATATAGAATTGCAATAGATACTAATTGTTTAGTTAATTTACGTTGTCGACGCCATTTTACATGGTGACTTCGTTTTTGTCGTAGTACTCGAAGTATTAAATATACATTTGCTGTAGTTATAACAAATGTTGGAAATATAATATTACCGATAAAATTAAAAGTTGCTACAGAAGGTTGATCAGTTACATAGCATGGTAATAGACAAAACACCTTATAGAAATATCAAAATAAACATCAACTTAGATTAAGTGAAAAAAAATTAATTCACCTCATCGTAGTCCCATTGTTTTTTACATGGATTTAATACTATAGCGCCAAGATAGAATATTAAAGGATACACAGAAGTTATGAATAACGGTAATAAATGAAAGAAAAATCGTTTTCGTCTTGTTGACATAAGTTTATGATGAAAAATAATAAAATGTCGTTCAATTGAAGTCCAAGCCATAGGATATAATAGAACAATATTCGATGAATATTCCCACCAATTCCAAAATGTACAAAAAAGATTTGATGCAAAACTAACTCTACCGTGTTGATAATAATCCATAATAAACGAGAGATCTCCAATCGTATGCAGAAAACTAGTTACAATTAATATTACAATAAAATGCTGATTCATTGAAATATTATGTCGTTTATGAAAAAAATGAATCATAATTAAAATTGCTAGAATAGAAGATGGAATGGATAAGATAAGTAGAATCCAAAATTTCGCTTTTGATAACCATAATGTCGATTGATCAACCATATCTCGAGAGAATGAAAACAATTATGATAGATAAACCTTGATGTATAGTGAGTTATAAAGAGTGCTTCTAATGCAAAAAAATAAAAATAAAGTAGTTGATAAATAGTCCTTTTGTTGTTCTCGAAATTTCCATTTTGATTTTAATCTTTTGCTAATGTATGATTTCAATAAATTATTTTGAGAAAAAGATAATTGTACTTTCTATTAAATGACCTCTAGCGTATTCAACGAAGGGCGAACAATAATATCTCATGCAAAAGTAACAAGTCCAAAGTAAGCTTTTATTTATCGTCAATAAAAATCCATTAAAAGAAAAGTTAATTTTGTTTTTTAATTGAAGAGACAAAGATTTTGTCCTCATTAACATCATCCAGGTTATTTTAATTCTTTTCAAGTAGTAGAAAAAAATACTGTTTTTTTGAATATTTCTTATTCTATAATTAGAAAATATTAAAAGTGTGAGGGTGGGTATGAGTATGGATATTCATTTCATACTACACCTGCATTCATAAAATTTTTTATTGAAAAACAACAATTTAAAAATACAAGATATAAGAACTAATATCTTATATCATCATTGCATAATACATAAAAAATACGGATTTATTTTACGATATGTCTATATATTACTGAATGGTTAATTTCTTAGAAACATGTTTTTAAAGTAATGAGAAGTTGATATTGTATTCCAATGAATCAAAAAATTAAGTGAAATTCGACACACTGAGTATCAATACTATCCAACAAATTTAGACAATGTTGTTTAGTTCAATAGTTGTGTAAGCAAAATATTTTTTTCAGATATCTTCAATCATCTATACGTGACTTTTCGTAAGTCTAAAAACTCATTTCATTAAAAATGAGAGATTCAGTTATAGACTGATTTGATTTGACAGGACGTTTTTTATTAAGATTATAAAACAGAAACATTGAAATATTGAAATTAAGAATACAATATTGTTTTCTCACAACATAGAATTCTAAAATATTGAAGTATAGAGTAATAATTCATATTTACTGGTTGACAAATGTAAAACTTATATTGTTGTATCGAATATTCAGTAACTTAATGGTATAATAGTCCTTTTCTAATGTCTTAAAAGTCAATGACATCAATGGTTATGGAATAGGTATTATGTGTAAGAGCAAAAAATAAATAGTCTACTTCTAAATATATGGAATCTTATGAAGGTGTAAACATTGTAAAAGTCCATTAAATGTCAGCAAAAACCAAAATAGTATAGACATATATAAAATTGTAGTACTATTGAGTTGTCTGGTTAATTTACGTTATTGACGCTACGCTATATAATGACGTCATTTACGCTATATTAGTCGAAATATGAGACATGCATTAACAATGGTAATTAAAGAAACTGAAAGTATACATAATACTGGATAAGAAATGATAAGTTGTTGAAATTAGTTGATTCATCAAACAAGATAGCAGTTAGCAAAAGCTGAAGATGATGTACACTAATCAGTTCTCAACAAAAAGATAGATACACTATATTATGGTTTCATTTCAGAATCTGAATATCATAACAGAAAAATAGAATACATAAGTTATTAATTCAGATAATAAATTTTAAATCAAATTATTGTTTTCAAAGAGATAGTTATTCATTTTTTGAGACTAACAACTCTTTAGTAAGCTTTAATGGTTTATTAGCATTATATTTTGTAACTTGAACTTTATAATATTTGCTTTGAGTATCTAATTATTAATATGACAGATTGTTAAACTGTTTATTCAAATTTTCTAGGATATTATTAGCATGAATGGACAGATTTTTCCATAAAAATATGATTTTGATTTTAACAATTCATTATATCGGATATTTCTTTTTCATTTCTATGTAAATTAAAATTGATTGTTTTTAGTTTTGAAATTATAAGTCCATAAAAATAGCTCAATTAAATTTGTCTCTAAGGAATATTTTTGAAATCGATGCTTTACTTAATAATAAACTGCTGAATTCTTCACCAAATTAATTATATGTATTTTCTATCCAATAATAATTTGTTCATGTTCTCATATTTACACAGTCGTATATAGATCAAATAGAAATTTTACGAAATCTCTAGTGTCTTGAGAAGTTCGTCAGCAATGTATGATCTGATAAGACATATGAACAGACACGCGTCGGCACAAAAAATTAAACAATCCGATGAGCAACATTCCGCCGCTACCGATTTGTATCAACATAAAACAAAGACGAGCTCAAATGAATTTTTCTTTCTAAACGAGATTTTATCTCATCTTGTGCCAGTGTTATTTTGATGATGACGATGATGATGATGAACAGAAAGAAATAGCTCATTCGTATGCTTTGATCTATCTATTTGTCTTCGTTTAGTATGTGAAAATCTTAAAAAATAATTAGCCGACATTCTATATCCATACATATATTCATTAGATAACAACCATACTATGCCTGTTGTTCGAATCTATGCTTGTCTTTTTTTTTCTTCTTACTTCGTCCTTTTCTCTTCTACTTATCAATAAAAATCATCATCAACATTGCTGGTGCTTCTGCTTTCTGTCGCCTGCATTATTTTATAAGGCAAAATTATTCATGCATATATACATAGATGTGTGCGGTGCATTGACTTGAAAGATTAATAGAAGGTGATAACAAGACCATGTTCTCTGATTAGTGTTTTTCATATATATATGTATGTAGATATAGATAGATAGATATATATATATAATTAGTAAGTCTTCCCTAGTGGAAAGTAGTGAATCGAAAGATAGTAATGTGATGATGAGAAAATGCCTTCATCTATTAATCATAAGAGAAAAATCGAAATGTTTTTATCTTCAAGTCTTTGATTATCTAGTAATATTTTTTTCAATTAGAATGAAGGACAGCACAAGCAGTAGTCAAGAGAAAAAGCATGATGTTGATGGATGAATGATGAATTGATGTGTTTACATTTCAGATGACGAGCGTTCACTTTTTATCCCGTCATTTAGACGTGTGTATAGCTTTGCTTAGGTAACCATTCTGTATATATATATATATATTTGTTTGGAAAAGAGCCACCTGTTGAAAGATACTGCTCATTTGTCTGCAGATTTAAAGCATCAAATATACATTTGGAAGAATTCTTTTTTTTCTTCTTTTTACTTTGTTTTTTTGTCCATATGGGTTACGCGTCTTTCTCTAAGTGTAACAAAAAATGATTTATTGAGACCGAGCGGTGGACGACGTCAAGGAAATTGTGTACGAATTATTATGTGTGTGTGTGCATGGCAAATCGACGCCTGCTTAGTTATTGCTGATGCTAAGCTGGTGTGGTACGAGTGCCATTAGAAAGTCATTTTTCACGCCGATATGCACCTTTCTGCTTGATAGACAGACCTTTTAGAATTGATAGAATATGCATATATAGATATATATTAGAAGAACTAAATAGGAAGAGCAAAACAAAAGGCTATATTATCATTTATTTTTTTTTGTCCATGTATATAAATTATAAAAGGAAACAAAATATCAAACAAAATATCCGTGAAATATGCTTATTAAATTAACATATTGTAAAGATTTTTGATAATTGAAAATATTTATTAATCATCATATAAGAAAAAATAAAAATAATCTGAATATTCTCTTGAAAATTTTATTTATTTTCTCTATAATTTTGATAATGATTACGTATGATGCCCTTTCTATTCATACGTATAAATATATGTAAATGTTAGCTACTCAAAATTGATTTTTCTCTTGTGCTCTTTTTATTATCATCAATACGAGCATATGAAAGCCAGGCTAATACGGCGACGACAAGTGTTGAAAGACAAAATGTTTACACTAACTTATATACCACTGAAACTGTAATAACAGGCCATTCGGTGAAAGTGAAAGTGATGATGCTTGTCATCATCAAGTCCAATGTCCTATTTTGCTGTTACTCGACGATTGTGCTATATGTCAAATGATAATTAGAAAAGGCGCGCGCGCCCGCGCTCTTATACATAAATACATACGCTTGCTCTCTCAAACATATCTAGTGTAGCTACTACCACGTGTTAAATAGATCTATTCATTCTCATTCTATTTCAGGCATATAACCATATATTCTTAATTCTGGCAATAATCTATCATCACTGGTATAACTCAAAAGAAATTACTGATTGAACAATAAGTACATCATCAAAGCATTTATTTCGGTTAACTGATCATTAAAATAATTTGAAAAAACGAAATCGAAAAAATTATCATTCATCCTGAACATATGATTGGTTAACATCAAATAAATATGAAACAGAAAAAAGAGGAAGTTGTCGTTCCGCTGGGAATTTTATGTAAATAGAAAAAAAAGAACTTATTATGAACTGTAATAAAAAAAAAACTATTGCCATTTAACGATTCGTTGCAAATAAGATGAAAGACAATTTATAAGAATAGATAGAGTCTGGTATATCACTCAAAAATTTCTCACGTAGTATTATACTACTAACCATTCATTTTCTCTTCAGCTACAGATGCTCATCATCATCATCATCGTCATCATCATTCTCCTACAGGTTGTGTATAAAGACAGAAAGGCACGTCGATAGGATGTGATATGTACAAGTTAATTTTTTGACTCGTCGTCATCGGTTATTGTACGTGCTCGACACACACGAGTCGTCAATCAACGAACATTTCTTACTCTCTGTCTCTTTCTCTTTCTCTTGTCTGTTTCTTTTCTCTAACTATATGTATGTATGTATATATATGTTTGAATGTATGTATGATAAACAGCATTCGCACGCGTTCTCGCCGTGTGATCAGTTGCAATAACATCAGCAGACGCCCTCATATGAACCTATTACACGAACCAACTGATGATCATGATGATGATAATAATAAAACTACTAAGCAAGTTTTACTTGTAGAAAAAGATGGAGAGAAAGAAAAGCGAGCAGGTTGGAAAAAAGCAAAAGCTGCCAATTGACAGTGGCAAAAGGGCAAAATAAATCGATACTTGTTCGTCTCTGGAGTGTTGATAAGTATAAACAATTATGGGCACTGACAACGACGAAACAGCGATGATAGAAGAAAATGATGAGATCTATTTATTTCCTTTTAGGCATGCCGCTCTTTACGTATATAGTGGATAATGTGGCTACTCATCTTTCTTTTTACTACCATTTCTTCGTCATTCCGTTAGTCATTATCACCATAATCAAAGATGCAAAATGCATAATCTATCAATAAAGAGTATATAGCCATATCACACACACTTATAGTCAAACAGGTTATCTTTCTCCACCCTTTCTCTTTATAAGACAGAATAAACGTCAATCTAAATCGATCGAATCTGGCTATCACAAACAGACATGCACTCGTCTTCTTATTTTCTTCCAACCTGCGGAAGCGGCAAAAATCGAGAAGTCTGTTTTCTCATCATTAACACTCATTAAAGCGGAACTATGCTTATGTTCAATTTAACGGTTGTTTGCTTTCTACCAGAATATATATGAATCGATTGAGATAGAGAGATAGAAAGGAAGAAGTGATTTATGATCACATAAGTCGTTTGTTCTTAAAAAACGATATATTTCATAATGAAAAATCGATAATGACGTACATACATAGATTTACATGTATGTATGTATATTGGTCAAGTGACTTTATCTCTTAACACAAGTAAATAGAAGACAGAACAACAATCGTCGCCGGCTATGATCATGGCGGTAAATCTTAAGCCTTACACAAACTCACAACAATTACAACTTGTCACACGAAGGCTCTAACCATTGATCGAAATAAAAAGAAGAAGAATAAGAAGAAAAAGAAGATAAAGAATTGACGGACGGCGGGAAGCTCACCGAGACGGAAGTTCCTTTTTTTTGTATGTCCGTCGAGCACGATCCATTGTCGTCCCGACGGTGATACAAACGAAAGTACTTCACACTGAAATATACGATAGAAAGTGAGAGCACTAAACAGTACAGGTATTGAGTTCGCGCCGCACGACCCAAGTGTTCATTTCCTGCTAGATCGATCATTCAAGTGCAGCATCGGACTCCAAAAAAAAAAAGAAATAGGTGAAGAAAAGGCAAAATAATGAACGGATAGAAAATCATACTATGAACGTTTTTTTACTACTAATTTGTCATAAATATATATATATATATCAAACAAACGAAAGAAAATATGTTCATATTTTAATGTACCTTTTTTTTTAATGTGAAAAGAAAAAAAATTGTGTGACAAAAAAATGTATGTGAAGGTCAGTTAGTCAAATAAATACACAACAATTGAAAATACAACAGAGATGAGAGAATAGGGAACACAACAACAAGACAAAATACTTGCCAAATACTTGAAAAACATGTCAAATTGAAAATGCAGTAGGCACAATCATTGATGTACTGGTACAATCATCAGTTGAAGAATGAATAGATGCTGTTGTTGCATGTTGATGTTGTTGTTGTAAACAATTTTCCGTATGTTTATTAAGTAATGACATACGTGAAAATGTTTTTGAACAATTTGTACACCGGTATTTTTTAATATCCGAATGTGTCTGCATATGTGCACGTAAATTCGACCGATCAGCAAATGCACGACAACATATTTCACATTGAAATGGTTTTTCTCCTGTATGTGTACGTACATGTCCTTGTAAAAGCCATGGACGTGAAAATGCTTTACCACAAATTTTACATTTACATGGTAATGTATGTGTACGTATATGCATTTTAAGTGCACCTAATGAATTATATGTTTTTTCACAAAATTTACATTGAAATTGTTTTTTAATTTGTGCCACACAATGAAATTGCTTATGCTTCGAAAGACCACCAAATGTTGAATAAGATTTTGAGCAACCATCACATTGATAACGTGAATTATTTGTATTTGAATTTAGAGTTGTTGTTGTTGTTGTTGTCGTAGTAATGGTAGTAAGATTTGGTGATGATGGTGATGATGAACATGATGAAGATGTTGGTGTTAATGGATAAGATGATTTTAAAGGTTTTTTCATTGAATCTATACTTGTATTAATTAATGATGGATTTGATAAAGGTAATGGTGATGATGGTGATGATGATATTTGACCATTTTTTGACATTTGCATGGCAAAATAATGATAACTAAGATAATAAAGATATGAAAAATCATTTGAAGACATTAAACGTGGAAATATCATTGATGTTGGAGATGTTTTTGGAAAAGCTCGATGTGGGATTTGTGTTGAATCAATTTGCATTTTTTTATTATTATTATTATTTTCTTCATGTTCCATTTCTTTAACCATTTCATGATCATCATCGTCGTCGACATCATTCTCATCAATACCATCGTCTTCATCATCATCATCATCTTCTTCAGTTTCAAGTATTGATTCAGCAGATGATGCTGCAGACAAAAGACTTGATATAAGAAAACTTTTACGATTATCTGATTCTATTTAAGAAGAAAAAAAAATAAGAAAATTTTTAATTTAAATAATTGAATGCAACTTACCATTCATTGTTTCGTCTTCAGTAATGTTGCCTGTAGTATTACTACTCATCATCATTTTCTTCTATTTGGATGTGGGAGTATCGTCTTCTTTCGTACTCTCTTCTCCTTTTTTTTCTCTCTCTCTCGTCTCTTCGCTCGTTTGCTCTTTCTGTATGTTTCTCTCTCTCTCTTTCTCTCTAGATATATATATATATATTTTCTCACTTTTTATTCGTGCTTCTGTTCTTTCTCTTCCTGCGAACGCATGATAATGCTTACGCGTATTCTGATAGGTTCTTCCAATGTCGTTGTTATTACATATCGCACTGACTGTGTTACTTCTTCCACTGCTAGCCAGTC